GGGGGGGTTCTTTTCTTTCTGCAGTCCATGGGTGTCTCATTATTTTCTCCTTTAAGGTTCCACTTTGAAACCAGATATCGGTAACCATTGATTGTCTCTCACTTCTCACCTCGGTCGTTCTAATTAAAGATATATCCAGATCTGTTCCCGTCTTTCGTGTAAGATATTTTTGGTCTGGTTTTGTCTCTTTTCGCCTTCTAATTTTCCCAGAGAGAACCAAAATCAATAACAAGGAGAACATATAAAGATACTAACAGGACCACTTTATCAATGCGAGTTTCTTAGGAACTGCTTTAGTACGCTGGCTTCTTTCTCCACTGTCTCACTCGATTTTGTTTGTCCTTCTGTGAATGTTAAATTATATATCTAGATCTAATGCCTCTCACGGAGCCGCATTTTTGTTGTCTGAAATTAATTTTCCAATCTTTAGTACATGTAATTATTGTCCAGTACTCAGAGCTGTGCAGACCAGCGTCTGAGGTGCAGGGGTTAGGCGCTTCACCGTTGCATGCAGGTCTGAGTTCGATTCCCATGTGGGGAGCAGTTCATTGGCGTATCTCGTTTTTTTCCCCTGCCACGTTGTACCCCCTAGGTCAAAGTGTAGTAACTGAAAGAAGTGTTCTCACTGTGCGTACCTTGCTCAGCGTTCATTTTAAAGATCAGCAATGACCGTTAAGTCTCTGAGACGTTGAGTCAGGCCTCCAGCTTACAGCAGTGTCTGACACCTGTCCGATAACGCCCACTAGTGGACGATTTTGCAATTTTGGTGGGCGGTGGGGATCACCTGGGTAGTGACAGATACAGAGCGTGTAATTAAGCTCGCTATGGGCAGGAGTCATTTAATGCCCAGCTGGAAATACATGGAGGTGGGGGGTGGGAAAATGTTGTGGTTATGAAAAGGTTGACTATCACTAGCAATGGCCTACTTGAAGAACCATGCAACCTCCAACCCGTAGTTTCAAATTGCAGTGGCTAAAGATAGTTTCAGAAAAATGAGTCCAATACGGAAAAATAGAAACATCTCAACGACTACGAACTGATAGTGATGAAATGCAATGCATGCATGGTCAACCCTTCTATATGGCTGTGTTTGCAGGACAATCACTAAAGACTGAAAATAAACTACAAGCAAAAGAAATGTGGTTTCTTAGGAGACTGCTGAGAATATTTTTTTGGGGAAAAACAAGAAATCAAATGAAAATGTACGTACTTGAAGAAGACCACGTGGGCCGCTCGCTGAATAGAACAATCAGGAAAAGACAAATAATGCTGTTTTTGGAGCACATGAATAGACATAAAGGCCTTGAGAATCTTGCTCTCACAGGAAAAATGGAAGGCAAACGAGGAAGGGGTGAGCCGAGAGCAACCTACTTGGAGAACCTTAAAGAGATGGGTGAGAGGGAAAAATCAGGGTAATGTAGCCTTTTTAAGAGCATTCGAGCAAAGGTATGAACCGAGAGCCATGATCACTGATTCGCAGATCTGGCACTTGTTCATGACACCCCTTGACGACAGAGCCGATAGCTCAGTTTGTATCATTCGTAACCACAGTGGTTTGAATCCTCTCGGAGATGATTTTACGCTTATTTGCCGGTTGTTTGGCTTGGCCCAAACGCTAAATTTGGAAGTCATAAGTGCCAAAAGACGCCCTTTTATATTCCCTACCCTCAAAATAATTTAAAATAAAATATTTAGAAGTCAAATCAATGAAACCTCTTTTAGCATGTTGTTAAATGGTGGAACTATCTTTTTTTTTTAAAGATGGAAACATATGTTGGTCAAAAAGTGATTTTTTGTCATCATCAGCTTGTAGCTCGAAACGGTCTGGAGCGACTTTTGGCATCTTTCTTCAGACGCACACACTTTAATGTTTAACAGAGTGTACCATTTGCTGAGTTACTTTTGAGATAATATAAGGTTCGAATCCTTAAGCTAGACGCACTTGGCGTCTTTGAAGAGATTTCAGAGCTCTCACCACGGTCGGACACAGCGTTTAAATTTGACTTCTCGACGCATGATAAGTTTTACAGGGTTTAAAGGGGCATGAAACCTAAGCATAGGGTACTATCAGATCATTGAATGAAGACTCTATAGTACCGGTACCGTATTTAGACTGGCGTCTGTGTCGTAGCAGTTTGACACTTCGTCATCTCATGCAGTGAATTTATGAAAAGAGTACCTCGTTTTTTTATGCCGGGACGTAGCATCTCTCTCAGCCCGGGTTAGTCTTGACAGGCAGAGTCGAAGTGGGCTTCCATAGGCCTAATGGAGATCTAAATCGTGTCGATTGGGGTTTAAAACTCCTATTCAAGAAAACCAAATTATTCAGTAGGCTACCGTACATGAACCTAGATCTTTTTATATTAGCTGGGGCATCAGGTAATACAAGTAGTGTAATGACAATTTCAGAAATACAGTTTTTCTTACTGCAACC